AACAAACAATTCCTATCAAATCAGCACTTCGTCAAACCAACTACTACGAAGTAAAAGATACTCAAAGATATGATTTCTTCCCATGTTATAGTAGTGCACTCGGCACTTGTCGTTGTTTTCAACACCTCCATTGTTTTTTAGCAATCTTCTGATCATTACTAACCAGTGATGTATTGTGTCCAGAAGCGTTGTAGAGGGCTCATTGTCGGAAAGGAGGACTTTCCGGTGATGACGCATGTTCTGCCCGACCACTGTGGGCTTTCCCGCTGAGAACAAAGGCCGGAGTGAGTTACTTTGAGAGACAGAGGAGCATTTTCGAAGCCGTTACTCGAAAGTAACTCATGCAGCGGAAGAAATCTTGGCTTGGATCTCTTCCAAGCAACGAATCCCTCTGGTTATCCGGAATCGTGCCGAAATTCACTGGATTCCTGTGGGAGTATAAAAATTGTTCACTTTTTCAGGCATCGATTTAATACCGTGAACCTGTGTGGATTACATTAAATGCCGCCAAGAACCCGAATGAATGTTGGGTTCGCGCTCCCAGAAGGGGGTTGAATTAAGAAAGAAAAAACCTTTATAAACGAAATAATTAAAATGGTTCGTTTCGCTCCTTCCTCAGACGAACCTTATTATTTCGTCAATCCCCGGAGCTAGCTAGCGAAAACCGCGTAGCGCTTTCCCACATTCAGCTTCGTTGCAATACTCTTGAATTTCTGCGCTGCCGTTTGCACGTAGCTCCTTGAAATCCAACACCTTAGATGATAGACTGATGTTTTTGCAACACTCCACCTTTGGGGGCTCGATGCAATGTCTAATGAAGGGGATGATTTTCCAATTTCGCCACTTTTCCACCTCATTCACGACGTTTTCGTGAAAGGCATCAGAAATCCCCGCAAACAATGCGACCCTCCCCCGCACTTTTCCAAACTCAGGTAGCCTTTCTCAATCTTTCCCTTGAAAGGCTGTCAAATGCAACCGCCTCGTTCAAATTGTGTGAACGGAGGGGTGATCTGCAGCAGGGTGGCTTAAAGACATATATATTATATTAATAATATTATACATATTATTACATACATGCATTTGCTCAGAACTGAAGTAGCATATAAGTTCGATTAGGGAGAGACTATCTCCTTGCTCACACCAGCCAGGACTTTCCTTGGGTGGCATCGTCAATCCTATAACTTATGTATAAATGTTGCAAGCTCTACGTTGACAGTCTAGCTATAGT